GGGGGCGGGAGCAATTTAGTTCAGAGATATTTACATTTGTACTTTTAGTTTTGAAGCATATGTCTGGAAAATATTTCTGGAAAATGTTTACCACAATTATGAAATTCTTTTCCTTTGATTTACTTTCAGCATAAAGCTCGAGTTTCTTTGTCAACTTGCAATTGGAATGTGGAGCGTGCGACAGAAAATCTGCTTAGCTAAGGATAGTATTGATTAAAGACAGCTTATAAAGTTTAGTATGTATCTAACGTTATGTGTGTACAACGACTGTACACGGGAGGTCACCATTAATCTGTGGCAGTGGCCAATAACCTGTGGTGGCCAGTGGCACACAGTGGCACATAGTGGCACTTCCTGTGTTTAGTGTGTGAGGAAGGGAAAGTAAGATGTGTTTTAATTGAAAGCTGTGATGAATGGAAGATTTAAACTGAAAGATATTGTCTGTTAACTTAGCTTTTTTTTTACAAATTCTTTCAAATAAAAAAATATCTATACTCGTTATATACATGTCAACATCATAAAGTCAGAATTCCTGTGATGGATCAAATGTTCCATTGATTTTTCGAATGTACCTGACAATATGTAGCAATTTGAGCATTAACTGGAGAACTGACCCCACAAAAGACTGATTTAAGCATCAGGAGCTGCACAACTTGTTCTGGGCCCAGTTTTCAACCTTCCATTGGTGTGGATATAGTGTGTAAAAATATATGACACAAATCTTCATGGTTTTGATAGAAAAAATTGCAGAGCATTGTTAAAGAATTTGTGTATTCCTTGTACATTGCCTTTGTTGTTTGCATAGTATAAGCAAATGTGTTATAAAAACTATATGCTGTATTACTAAAAAGTGGAATTCAAATCCGGGTATAAGTTATCAGTATAAAACTTGAAAGGCAACATTTTTTCTATCGTCATGTTCCCTGTTTGCCAAATATTTGATCTACTAACTGTGTGAGTTACCTCCTTTTCTCTCATGTATCTTAAATTGTCTTTAAAAAAAAAAAAGTTATCAGAAGTAAATGCAATTGTAGAATATAATTTTAATATCGGTAGATAGAAAAAAACAATTTTCTTTAAAAAAAAAGCTTGGCACTATCTAAAAGGTCCTTTTCACATATCCTGTTCAACTATTTCAACTATCTGAACATGACAAGAAAATGATTGGCTGAGATCTGAACCGAGGCTGATCTCCAGAAATTTTGGCCGAGGATATTAAGGGGTCCAGACATGCCTGACTAAAACTAAAATGCCCGCTCTCGCTAGTCTCCATGATTTGTGAATTAAACCATACCGGTATTTATTCGCATGTTTTTGACATTTTAAACGAAATACGTGAAAGCGACCTAGAGATACCTGATTAGAAGGGAAGTAACTCATACGGTTGGAAGAGTTATCTGTCAACTCCAAAAGGGAAGTAACACATCACTTTGCAATACACTTTAAGTAAAGGCAGACTTTATTGATTATGTTTAATCATCACAACTTTTGGTATCAGTCTCATCTTGGATCTTCCAAATGCTAATTTTTCGTTTATGAGTAAAAACACAAACCATTTTGTTAGCTCACCTGGCCCAAAGGGCCAAGTGAGCTTATGCCATGGTGCAGCGTCCGTCATCCGTCCGTCCGGCATCAATATTTTATTTTAAACAACTTCTAATGAATAAACGAATGCCCAGAGTGATGATATTTGGCCAGTAGCATGCTGGGATGAAGGGCTACCAAGTTTGTTCAAATGAATGACCTTTACTTATTTTCAAGGTCACAGGGGTCAATTGTCTTAAAAATTCTTTATACAACTTCTTCTGAATAACTAAAGTGGCCTAGGATAATGATATTTGGCTAGTTACATGCTAGGATCAAGGGCTACCAAGTTTGTTCATATGAATGTCCTTTACTTATATTCAAGGTCACAGGGGTCAAATATGTTAAAAACCTTTAAAAAACTTCTTCTCAATTACCAAAAGGCCTAGGATGATGCTATTTGGCCAGAAGCATGCTGTGATGAAGGGCTACCAAGTGTGTTCAAATGAATGACCTTGACTGATATTCAAGGTCACAGGGGTTAAATATGTTTAAAACCTTTAAACAACTTCTTCTGAATAACCAAGAGGCCTAGGATAATGATATTTGGCCAGTAGCATACTGGGATGAAGGTCTACCAAGTTTGTTCAAATGAATGACCTTGACAAATAGTCAAGATCACGATGGTGAAATATGTTTAAAACATTTAAACAACTTCTCATTAACCGCAAGTCCTAGGATGATGATATTTGGCCAGTAGCATGCTGGGATGAAGGACTACTAAGTTTGTTCAATTGAATCACCTTGACTTATATTCAAGGTCACAGGGGTCAAATATGTTAAAAACCTTTAAACAACTTCTTCTGAATAACTAAGAGGCCTAGGGTAAAGATATATGGCCAGTAGCATGCTGGGATGAAGAGCTACCAAGTTTGTTCAAATGAATGACCTTCGTCTTTTTTCAAGGTCACTAGGGTCAATTGTCTTAACAAATCTTTAAACAACTTCTTCTGAATAACTAAGAGGCCTAGGGTAATGATATTTGGCCAGCAACATGCTAGGATGAATGACCTTTACTTAATTTCAAGGTCACAGGGGTCAAGTATGTTTAAAACCTTTAAACAACTTCTCAATAACCGAACTCCTAGGATGATGATAGTTGCCCAGTAGCATGCTGGGATAAAGGTCAACCAGGTTTATTCAAATGAATGATCTTTACTTGTATTCAAGGTCACTGGTGTCAAATATGTTTAAAACTTTTATACAACTTCTTCTGAAAAACCAAGAGGCCTATGATAATGCTATTTTGCAGTAACATGCTAGGATGAAGGGCTACCAAGTTTGTTCAAATGAATGACCTTTACTTATATTCAAGGTCACAGTGGTCAAATATGTTTAAAACATTTAAACAACATCTTCTGAATAACCAAGAGGCCTAGGATAATGCTATTTCGTCATTAACATGCTAGGATGAAGGGCTACCAAGTGTGTTCAAATGAATGACCTTGACTGGTATTCAAGGTCACAGGGTTCAAATATGTTTAAAATCTTTAAACGACTTCTTCTCAATTAGCCAAAGGCCAAGGGTGATGATATTTGGTTATTAACAGGCTGGGATGAAGGGCTACCAATTTTGTTGTGAAAATGAATGACATTCGCCCATATTCAAGTATTCATATTCATATTCATATTGACAGTGGTCAATAAATGTTTAAATCTTTAAATGACTTGTTCTGTATAACTAAAAGGTCCGGGTAATGATATTTTGCCAAAACATGCTGGGTTGGAAGACTTTAAACTCTGTTCAACCTATTGTCCTTGTTCGACACTCAAGGTCATAGGCATCATATGTTTAAATCTTTTAATAGGTTCTTATGAATCAAACACTGATATTCTGCCTGTAGCTGTATTTTAGTCCACTCTTAAGATTACAAGTGTGAGATTAATACCAGGTGAGCGATTCAGGCCCATTAGGCCTCTTCTTTAGTTACATACAAATGTATATGATTGAGATGTCAAGAATCACTGATAGATCAGGTGGATCTGAAATTCGAGCGATCTCAGATTGATAAATATATAATACCTGCAGTAGTAAGAGTTCTGATAAATATATTATACCTACAGTAGTAAGGGTTCTGATAAAAATATAATACCTACAGTAGTAAGGGTTCTGATAAAAATATAATACCTAAAGAAGTAAGGGTTCTGATAAAAATATAATACCTACAGTAGTAAGGGTTCTGATAAATATATTATACATACAGTAGTAAGGGTTCTGATAAATATATTATACCTACAGTAGTAAGGGTTCTGATAAATATATAATACCTACAGTAGTAAGGGTTCTGATAAATATATAATACCTACAGTAGTAAGGGTTCTGATAAATATATAATACCTACAGTAGTAAGGGTTCTGATAAATATATAATACCTACAGTAGTAAGGGTTCTGATAAATATATAATACCTACAGTAGTAAGGGTTCTGATAAATATATAATACCTACAGTAGTAAGGGTTCTGATAAATATATAATACCTACAGTAGTAAGGGTTCTGATAAATATATAATACCTACAGTAGTAAGGGTTCTGATAAATATATAATACCTACAGTAGTAAGGGTTCTGATAAATATATAATACCTACAGTAGTAAGGGTTCTGATAAATATATAATACCTACAGTAGTAAGGGTTCTGATAAATATATAATACCTACAGTAGTAAGGGTTCTGATAAATATATAATACCTACAGTAGTAAGGGTTCTGATAAATATATAATACCTACAGTAGTAAGGGTTCTGATAAATATATAATACCTACAGTAGTAAGGGTTCTGATAAATATATAATACCTACAGTAGTAAGGGTTCTGATAAATATATAATACCTACAGTAGTAAGGGTTCTGATAAATATATAATACCTACAGTAGTAAGGGTTCTGATAAATATATAATACCTACAGTAGTAAGGGTTCTGATAAATATATAATACCTACAGTAGTAAGGGTTCTGATAAATATATAATACCTACAGCTCCTGTGTCATGTAGACAGAAAAATCTCAACTCAAAGAAAGAGTTTGTGAGATTCAGCGCTCTTGTGCTGAAGGAACGACATAAATCTCATGGTCCAAGAGATGAGATTTTTCTATCTACGTCATGCTTGAGTGTTTGATATTTCTCACACATAAACATTACTCTTAAATTGTAATGGTGAACCCAGAACACCTGAAATGTGTGACAAATTGATGATGCCATGCTGTTATGATATGGGTACTAGTGATACTACAAAACTGAACACGTTTGGTGGCGTATGATGAGTTAAGCTGCAGTGTTTAACTTATATAGAGCTGTATAAAGGTGAATCTCGATAGATTGACCTTTTCCTTTGCAATGATGGTTATGTATTCGAGAAACACTGGTCTGCTAGAATTTCAATTATTGTGTCCAATAGGTGTTCTGGTACATTAGAATCATTTTAGTTTGGACACATTATTTTCTGAGAGAAAAAATCAGGATAAAGCAAGGAGTTTCAGCATCCAGAAACCAACATTTCAGGTATAAGACCACAACTGTAACAGAACGTTGAAGTTCCTTCAGTCTTGGAAAAGTGACTTTTCTTGATTGACATCATCAAGATAACAACTTAACATTGTATATGTCCTTACTATTTATTTTAAACGTATTGATGTACAAGCTGTAAAAGACAGTAGAATCTACAGAGGTTGAACACAATGGAGAGGAAGTAGTCTGATCAATGCTTTGTAATTTTTTCAAATAACTGCATAAATATGATAACACAAATGTTACAGAAATTATGTTTTTATTTCTCCAAAATAACTTTTATAAGATTTTTTTTTTTCAAAATCAATTGTCAAACACAAATCAGTGATGTTAGTTAAAACAGTATTTTATTAGTTTACCTTGTACAAAGAACCAAAGTGAGCTAATGCCATACCGTGGCTTCCATCATCCGTCCATCAACAATTTCTTCAAACGACTTCTTCTTCAAAACCGCTGATTGAAACTTAATTCGGATTCAAAATTGTACAAATGGAGAGTTCTAAAAGGGGTTATTTGACAATATTGCTTCAAGCAACTTATTCTTTGAAACTTAGACAAGGATATCAGCGACATTTGGTAGGAAGCATCCTTAGATGGAGGGGATTTAAAAATATACAAATGAAGGGACTGACCTCCTCAGGGGGCTGAGGGGTGGGGTCTAAAAGGGGTGATTTGGCCATATTGCTTTAAGTGACTTCTTTTCTGAAACTAAGGCAAGGAAATCAATCATATTTGGTTGGTGAGGATTCAAAATTGTACATTGATATAAGAAATGACTCTTGGGTCTGGCCCCTACCCTAGGGACTTAATTCTTGCAT